GATTAGATAACCTGATTAGTGATTGATTAGATAACCTGATTAGTGATTGATTAGATAACCTTATTAGTGATTGATTAGATAACCTGATTAGTGATTGATTAGATAACCTTATTAGTGATTGATTAGATAACCTGATTAGTGATTGATTAGATAACCTGATTAGTGATAAAAAGTGAAACAGATCCTGGAGAAGCCACTTTCTGAGCTGAGAGGACGTCTGACATTTTTATTAACTGATGATTTTCAGATTAAAAACATGCTTCTCGGGTTTTAGACTTTCAAAATAAAAGCCTGAACTGCTCATCAAAAGTGACTAAGTATTTCCTGTGATTTTCTCATAATTCACCTCAGAGTAAAAAAAACAACACGTTTAAATTTCCAGAAAAGAACGTGCAGAAATATTTAAAATAAAATGTAAATGTTTCAGTTCGTGCAGATCTGTGCTCTGAAGCTTTGATCTCCGCTGACCTTGTAGATGTTTTATAATTTTATTTGTCTAAAAGTGTTTCAGGAACAGATTGTGGAGCTTCAAACAGATAATAAGTTTCATGAAGCAGAAAAGCTCAAACGTTCCAGAAGAAAAGACGACAAGACAGAACGTCGAGTCACCGACGAACATCTCAGCTCCTCTCCGAGCTGTGATCATGTCCAGCATGAACAAAGTCCTGCACCTCCTCCCTCCTCCTGCGTTTACTCCTCATGAGCTCTTCAAACCGCCTGGACTTTATTAAAGTTACAGTCAGTCTGTCTCCTCATTTTGACCCCCTGCTGTTTGTTTGTTTGTTTGTTTGTTGTTTGTGTAGATCTGTCAGAGAAGAAGAGCGACCTGAGGGTTTGTGACGACTCCTCCTGCAGATATGGAGGCGTCTGCAGGGACGACGGGGCTCAGCTCAGATGTGTCTGTCAGTTCCAGGTGAGCAGGACGAGCTTCTCTTCAGGCTCCGTGTGAGGACTCGTCCAGACAGAACCTGGTTTTCATTGGACCTGGTTGTCCTGGGGCTCCTCGAAGACCAGGACACGCAGAGACACCCCCAGGCCCCACCTCCAGATCAATCAGACCTCACCTGCTCCTCATGTAGAAGATGAATCAGAGCCAGTGGGCTCCGTCTAGTTCCTGATCACTAAGATGTTTGAGTTTCAGCCAGCAGAGGTGAGCGAACAGAAACCCGATCAGAACCGACGAGCTGGACTTTAATTCTGGTTCTGACTTCTTCATCTGGATTCACGTTTCTTTCTTGGGCTGAAGAGCTGAAGGTGAAAGCTGCAGGTTTCCCTCCTCCCTGACTGACAGCTCCGTTCAGGAAACATGGATTAATGAATCCTTACAGATGCTTTGATCCATCCTAATCAATACATTTATTTATAGCTGCTGCATCTTTTCAGTTTTGATTATTTGAGACATAATTTTCAAACAATTTAAACTGATCTGATGAACTAAATCTGAGGCGGCTGTTTGTTTGGTGGCTTTCAGGACAGCAGGGGTGTCCAACGTCCTCTGTCCTGCACGTCTCCACCATGTCCCTCCTCAGGTTCTGCTGAAGGTTCTGCTGAAGGTTCTGCTGAAGGTCTCGTTTCATCTGATCTAAAACAGCTGAGCCGTTTGTTTATTCAGCTCCTTCGGTGTTTCAGCGGCGGAGGAACTGAGTTGCACCAAATTCAAAGGACTTGCATCATCAGAGTCCATTTATAAACGTTCAGTCGGCGCCGTTAGCCGGACCGGTCCATGTTCTTAACCTTTGATCTTGTCTGATTCTCAGTGCCACAAAAACTACAACCCGGTGTGCGGTTCTAACGGAGACACGTACCAGAACGAGTGCTACCGGCGGCAGGCCTCCTGCAAGCAGCAGAGACTGATCTCCAGGAGCCACGACGGGCCCTGCTCCTCCGGTGAGTCCAGGAAGTACACAGAGCCCGCAGCAGAGCCATGATGTAGCCGCTGCTCATAAGAATAAAACTGAATCTGTTCCTTAAAAGTTGCAGTTATGAACCAAAGGTTTCTTTATCTTAAAGTTCAAACTGTGTCTGTTGCATCAAGCAGAGCGTGAACGTCTGAGTCAGACGAGTGTTCTGGGACATCATGTTTTCATTTTTCACCCTGTCACTCAGCAGCAGCAACGCTTCCTGTAGTTTGTTCGTGACACGTCTGTGGCTCCTCTTCACTCAGTCTCATTTTCTGTGGGGGGGGGGGGTGGGGGGGGGGGAGAGACAGGTTAAACACTCAGCCATCAGTCGCTGCTGCAGCTTGCCGTGCCACGAGGCTCCCTGCTCTTCTTCTGCCTCCTCATTACTTCATGTCTGTTCAGATAATGGGGGGGGGGGGGGGTATTTTCACGTGGCTTGACTCAATCAACCATTAGTTTGGAGAAACAGACATGAGACATGATGTGAGAGCGTGTCCCCATGAGGAGGAGAAGGTTAGAATCCCTCAGGACAGAGTCATGTTTGATTCACTGAGTCATTCATGTAGTTTGACTGAGTCATTCATGTAGTTTATTTACTGAGTCATTCATGTAGTTTATTTACTGAGTCATTCATGCAGTTTATTTACTGAGTCATTCATGCAGTTTATTTACTGAGTCATTCATGCAGTTTATTTACTGAATCATTCATGTAGTTTATTTACTGAGTCATTCATGCAGTTTATTTACT